ATGCCACCTTGTTCTATCCTGGTAAACAAAAATTCTGAAAGCATTAGTTTTAATAGTCTACCGCTCTATAAAATATTTTGCAAAAAGCCTTGTAGTTCGCAGCTCTTAATTAGAAGTTTCAGAATCAGTAACAAACTATTACTTTCAATTTATTATTAAAAGTAAATGCAAATTAAGGTTTTAGCTTGAAATATATATAAATGATAATATGTAGTGGTGTAATCATGGTGTAGTTACAAATAAATAATTAAATAGAGGAAATAAGCAAAAATAACATGCACTTCTTCCACTTTTTTGCATTATTAGGCGCACATATCATCACTAAATACACAATAAATATTTAAAGATCAATGATATGAACAAAAAAAATATGTAAATGTTTCTATGTTACATGATTAAAAACTTCAATCGAAAAATAATTAAAATCTTCATTTATAACAGGCGACATGTTTCAAGCGCTCAAAAACAGGAGCCCATTTTCACGATTTGCCAGATGTGGGTGAGAAGAAACAAAAGTGAATTGAAATATGAAACAAAAAGATGCCTACAAAAAATGGAAAATAAAGGTGAGAAGCAAAACTAGAAAAAACTCAGAAGCCGATTGTGGAAAAATAAAAATAATAAAAATCACAGTGGCCGAGAGGAGCAAATCAGGGTAAAATACATCAAGTAATATCCTACCGCTTTAGTTACTTGAGATTAATTTATTAATATGCGTCTAAGGTTTCAGAAAATTAAAAAGAAACAGCCAGGAAATAAATTTCCATTTAGCTTTAACTTAAATAAATTTAATAACACTTTCATTCATAAGGAGATTTTTCATATTTTGTAAAGTAAATTATTTTTATTAAAATAATTTGACTCATTCAGAATGTTTACAGTTCAATATGCCTTAGTTTTGCAAATAGAAAATGTTGGATATGAGGTCCGGTACTAGCGTGATCTAGAGTAAAATAGCGTTCATAAATAACGAAACACTTTTTTTCTATATTCTGACACACCCTCTGCCTTGTTACAACTCATGCTATATGTCATTTGCAGTTCCTAAAAAGGCATTAATTTACTATAACATGTATTCCAAATTTGTTTTTAACCCTTTGACACAGATAATAACACACCGATATCCCTTCCATATATTTATTTCTGTCGCAAACAAAAATATATTTTTTAATTTTTTAATGATAATGATAATTTGGTATTTTTGAATTGTTATAGTTACTAAATAAAAATCTGCTACATTATCAGAATTAAAATTATTTTAAAATATAAATTTTAAAAAGGGAGTACGAATTTTTTTTTTCATTCATATTCAAAAATTTATTAATATTTGATTTTTTTCAAATTCAAGAAATTTCAATGATGAATAACTGTTTCTCTCAGATCTAAATTACTGCAAATCACGAAAATTATACTTTGGAAGTGAGCCGTGTTAGGAAGATTATACATTTAGCGCAGAAAATGATACCCGTGTTTCAGGCTTTATTTCCTAACTATAAATTGTTAAAATGTGAAACAAAATATTTTCTTACATATTCTGACCTAAATTATCCCGAAATTAAAAAAAAAAGTATGAAAAACATGCTTAGTAAAAATTCTGTGTCGAAGGGTTAAACTTTAACTATGTGTTTTAATAGGGTTTATGGGCACAATTATTTGTTATTGAGGAAAATTATTTGTACATAATTATTTGTGTACTTAAAGTGAGGAAAAAATATACAAATAAATAATATAAAAATATTTATTGATTTTAATTTTTTATTATTGTTTTATTATATTTTTATTTGATTATACTTCTTGTTTCCCCTCCCTCGCCCTTGTCACAAACTGTCACAATTTCACGAACAATGTCACAATTTCCCTTCATGACATTATTTGTTGACGAGGCCAAACTATTTACGACTGCTCCGTGTACACTTTCAGGAAACCTTAAAATTTTAAAGAGAGTGCCAGACAATGTTTAAGACTAATCCTTGCTAGACATCCCAACCTTTAAATATTGAGCATCGGAGTATTTCAAAGCATAACATTTATCAATGAATAACGAATATTTTAAATAAAATAATGTAAAGGTTTTCTTATACCTCTAGAACTTTTTTAAGCAAATAACTTTGTTACTTTGAAATAAATTATTAAAAAAATTATTGGATAATTTACGGTTTTATCGCTTGATAGTTAATACAGAATACATACAGACTCTGATTTATGTATCCCAAACTTTTACTTCATTTACGAAAGCATTTCTGCGGAAAAAATTCAAATGTTCCAGACATAAATTATTATTTTTTTTTGTACATTTTTTGTGATTCATTTTTTCTTCTTTTTTTTTGCAAAATGTTACATTTCTATTAATAACTTTAAACATATTATTTTAAGAAAAAAATTTCCTAAAGTCCACTTAAGCATAATTATTGGCATTCATTATAAGCATAATCAAATCCACTTCAGTTAAACGTAATTAATTACATTCATTTCGTTTAAGTAATCATTTCATTTTAACAAAATTAATTGCATTCAAACTTCAATAATTCGCTTCCTTTTAAATTAGTAAGATTAAATCTACACATTTGATTTAAATACATTTAATTCCGTTTTATTTTTTAAACATAACTAATCTCATTTATTTATTCAAGCATAGCTAAGCATGTTTATTTATTTAAATTTAAACTAAAATAATTTCACTCATTCTATTTAAACGTAATAAATACACGTATTCTATTCAAACATAACTAATTCCCGCCACTTTTATTTATGATTAAATCTACACACATTATTTAAATATTACTGATAACATGAATTTTCTGAATATAATTTATTTCACTCAGTTTACCCTAACTAATCACATTTATTTAATATTTACTTATTTATTCTTCATTAATTTCACTCATTTAATTTTAAAGCAATTAATTACATTAAACTTATTCAAACATATTAATTTCCTCAATTTTTATTTTAATATAATTAAACCTACACATGTGAATTAATAACACATGTGATGTCATACTTCGCATCTATTCATGTTATTTAAATATCACTGATACCATTAATTTTATCTAAACATAATTTATTTCATTCATTTTATTTAAACCTAACTAATCACAGTAATTCATTCATACTCGATTAATTCCTTTCTCTTAATTTTAAAGTAATAAATTACACTAATTCTCTTTAAACATAACTAATTCCCGCCATTATTTATAATTAAATCTACACACGTTATTTAAATATTACTGATACCATTAATTTTATTTAAACATAATTTATTTCATTCATTTTATTTAAACCTAACTAATTACAGTTTTTATTTAGACTTGATTAATTCCATTCATTTAATTTAAAAGTAAATAATTACACTAATTATATTTAAACATAACTTATTCCCGCCATTTTTATTTGTAATTAAATCTACACGTGTTATTTAAATAATACAAATACCGTTCATTTTATTTAAGCGAAAATTATTTCATTCGTTTTTTTGCATTTATTTAATTCATTTTATTTAAGTCTAACTAATCACAGTAATTTATTTATACTCTATTAATTTTAAAGTAAAAAAATTACTCTAATTCTATTTAAACATAACTAATTTCCGCCATTATTTATAATTAAATCTACACATGTTATTTAAATATTACTGACACTGTTGATTTTATTTAAACATAATTTATTTCATTCATTTTATATAAACCTAAATAATCACAGTTTTTATTTAAAACTTAATTAATTGCGTTCGTTTAATTTAAAAGTAAATAATTACACTAATTATATTTAAACATAGCTTATTCCCGCCATTGTTATTTATAATTAAATCTACACATGTTATTTAAATAATACTAATACCGTTCATTTTATTTAAGCATAAATTATTTCTTTCGTTTTTTTAAACCTTATTTATTTTATTATTTATTTAAACTTGTTTAATTCCACTCATTTTATATTATAACAATTCGTTACATTAATTATTTTTAAACATTGCTAATTCCCTCTATTATTATTTATAATTAAGTCTACATATGTTATTTAAATATAACTGATAGCATTAATTTTATTTAAACACAATTTATTTCATTCATTTTATTTAAACATAACTAATTACAGTTATTTATTTAGAGTTAATTAATTCCAGTCCTTTGATTTAATAATAATTAATTACACCAATTCTATTTAAACATTGCTACTTCCCTCGACTTTTATTAATAATTAAATCTACATTTGTTATTATACATGTTATTTAAATATTACTGATACCATTCTTCTTATTTAATACCTTTGATTTAGTTAGTATCATATATTTCACCAAAAGTAATAATAATAATTAAAAAGAACTTAAGAAGAAAACATGGAAAAAAAAAGATCTGGGTGTTTTAAATCATGCGCCAAATTACAAAATGTTTTCGCTAGTTTATTTTTTTATACTGAAAATTAAAATAACAATAACATTATTAATAATAAAAAAATTCGTTGAGAGTTAAAGAATAATAAATGAAATAAAGTTTCTGAATGAAAGGAAGAGAAAAAAACTTATTATTAAATAATATTACAAAGTAATATGAGCTGTGTATATAAATGATCTTTCATAAGTTTTTTTTTTTAAATTATTATTTTTATGAAAAATCACCTACTTTAATCATTTTATTCGCATTGTTTGACAAGATTTAAAAATTTATGTAAACTTTTACTGTGTCTTACATAAAAGGTATGCAAATACTTATCAATAGTTACACTATAAGAATTTTTTTTTCACACACAAAACCAAACAGGAAAAAGAAACGAAACAAAAACCAGAGCAGACTGACCGCTATACTGACCACCGGTCTGTTCATAATGACACACATTCCCACCTATTTTTCTTACCTTTGAAAAATCCCAAACGGCCCCACCTGTCAAGCCACGTGTAAACACAGTCAGACCACCTGGTTCACCCTTCAACCCCCACCCCTCTTTGTTTACTTCCAATAAAATGTAAACAAACGATCCCAAGTAAAGAATTTGTTCGAACTTACCTTTTTGACGGTACTGTTCGGGGAAACATCCTCTCTCTCCATCTCCAAATCGGTATAATATTCGAAATAATTCGGAATCGTTGGATCGGAGTTGTTTGAACGACTGACAGATCACCCCTACGCTGTGAGTGGGTTGATCCTCACCTGACAGCTTGTGACGTCATGGAGCGTTGGCCGGCTGTTCGAGAGAGTGGGAAAAGGTGAGGTGGTGATCTTTACGATGTTTTTTTACTATAGTCGAAATCATCTTGTGAGCAGGTAACCGAGACAGAGGTGTATAACAGACGAGGTCTTTAGATTTGAAGAAAGAAAAAAATTCACTGGAATTTATTTAAATGAGCTTTTTTATACGAAAGTGAAAATTTTTTTGCTGGATCTGCATACTATGGTCATTGTTCGGAAAAAAAAAGAAAAAAAATCTGTTGGTTAAAAAAAATTAAGCACTTTTTAAAGGGGGCGAAATTATAATGCATAGTTTCAATAGTTTTTTTTTTTTTGAAATTTATCGGATATAAAAAAATCGAACTCAAAGCTATTTTTTATCTGTAATATATTTTTCTTTGAAACCAATTAAACTTATTAATTAGCTACAGTCTTCTTTTATAATTATTTGTTATTTGTCAATGCTGTTATTTTTTCAAAAATTTATAAAAATTGTTCGTTTTTTTTTAAGCTGCACCCTGCGTATTGATGATGAATAATGAATTTATTTATTTTTTTACCCAAAAATAAAATAGTACGAGGGACCTATTGAAATTTCTACTTATTGAAACAGACATATATCCACAACAACACAATAAAACAAGTAAACACAAATGAATATGCTATAAAATGCGTACACATCATTTCCCTCTATTCCCGTGGCTGTTTAAACTTTGTATTGCTCTCACCCCCACCCACCTCCATTATAAATAAAAAGTTCCTATGTTATAGAGAAAAGTAAATAGCGGTATCCAAATTGTTGAAAATATAGAGCCTATTTTACACATTCGTAACTACCAAAAATAATTAGAAATTCAAACGAAAAATAAAGTGAGGAATGATTTTAGTTAAACAAAGACGAAACTGTTAAAATTTTTCATAACTTAAAAATTATAACACTGGAAGAAATTTTTTTTCCTGATGCAGGAGCTATATTTAACAAATTTTTGATACTAACGCATTGCTGGTTTGAAATCTACAATCGGTTTCTCGCTACAAACTACTGTTTTTATGCACTTTTTATAATATAGTTCGCACCAGGATTTTTTAAAATCCAATCGAGAGACTACTGAGTGTCCCCACTTCTCTGCTACTAAGAAAATGGTAGGATGAAGGCGATAATAGATTTCAGTTTATGTTTTACATCAAGGTCACATGTTTTTTCGTCTGAAATATTATTTTCAAAGCAGCAAACAAGTGTATATGTGCGTATAAAAGCATGTGCGTTCCTTATAAATTCGTACATTCAGACACAAAATAACTTAAACCAAAAATTTCATTTCAAAAAAATCCTTACTTTTCCTAACAAAAATAATTATAGATTTGAAATCCCCACACCCTAATTAACTAAGTACTTGATTAAGTACTTGATCGAGTACTTGATTAAATACAACAACAACAAAAATTTCTGTGAAATGTTGCCCAAGGGACCGACCACAAATAACGTCAATGCTACTCTGGAGGGGTGAGAACAGTGACGTACAGATACGTGAGACTGCAATCCCCAGAAAAAAAAGTTTAGTAATATTACTTCTAGATTGAAAAAAAAATTATAATAAATTTAAAAGTTAAAAAAAAACCATTTAAACTATACATGTTAATAAAAATTTCATTCCATATTTTAATTTCCAACGAAATAGCCATGAGTTTCCTCTAAAGAAAATAAATATTCAAGTTTGAAATACCTGAAACTTCATTATTAAATTTGATGCAAATCGCATTTTATTCTTCATAAAATATTTCACTTCAATCAAATATTTATTTACCTGACAGAAAATTAAAATTTCCAGATAAAACTAGTACTACTAATCCAGATTAAACTTTAAATCTAGACATATTTAAAGTTTTAGTGGACGATTGGATGCCCCCTTTGACTGGATCCGGGGATCTCCTTCCGCCCCCTTCTCTGAGCGTCAATGGGATCTGAGCATGAAATTGCAACAATTTGTGACAAGAGGCAGAGAGTAATGAGAAAAAGTGTGACATAATAAAAACATGCTTAAACATCGGTAATAATAACGATATTAAAAGTAAAATTAGCAGATTAAAATAATATTATAATATTTTTATAATAATTTTATAATATACTAGTGGGTTGCGCCCCCTGCTCGCTAATGCTCGCCAACCCCCGAAAATTGCTACGCAATCTTATATGGTTTGCTTCGCGTACCAAGATCGCTTCGCTCGCTACTAACTTAGGTACATTGCAAATGCACACAATTCTAAGAATTCAAAACAATATAAAAAAATAACATATAAAAAAATTACATCTTTTTAGTAAATACTAAGTCATTAAAATAAATTTGAATTCAAATAAATGACATGTAATTCGTTAAACCTATTAGAAATGTGCTATAGTATAATTCGTGATATAAATCAAAATAAAACTGATATCTCTTT